TGTTCACAGACTACATGCGTGGAGCCATCCGGCTGTCCGCACTCGCCGAAGCCGGAGTTATCTACGTCATGACGCACGACTCCATCGGTCTCGGCGAGGACGGCCCGACTCACCAGCCGATCGAGCACCTGGCCAGCTTCAGAGCAATGCCAAACATCTTCATGTTCCGGCCAGCCGACGGCAACGAGACGGCGGGCTCGTACAAGGTGGCAGTGCTCAGCAGGAAGACCCCCTCGATCCTGGCTCTCTCCAGGCAAAAGCTCCCTCAGCTCGCCGGCTCTTCGATCGACGCAGTTTCCAAGGGCGCTTACATCCTCAGCGACAACTCGTCCGGAAACAAGCCGGACCTCATCTTGATAGGCACCGGCTCCGAGGTGGAGATCGCTGCAAAGGCCGCGGACGTGATCAGAAAGGAAGGCAAGAGCGTGAGGGTGGTCTCGTTCCCGTGCTGGGAGCTGTTCGAGAAGCAAAGTGACGAGTACAAGGAGAGCGTCTTCCCGAGCGAAGTGACTGCCCGAGTGAGCGTGGAGGCCGGGTCGACGTTTGGATGGGGGAAGTACGTTGGAAGCCGGGGTGTGGCGATCGGACTGGACAGGTTTGGAGCGAGCGCTCCGGCAGGAACTCTGTACAAGGAGTTTGGATTCACAGTTGACAACGTTGTTGCGAAGGCAAAGTCGCTGCTGTGATCTCTTCACATCCAATCCAGCAAAGAAGTTCCTTGGCGAAGTTTTTTTCTTCACGCGAGAGAGGAGGAGCTAATGAATCCGCTGACACTATTCTTATAAGTTTTTTTTTTTTTCTTGTTAGATTTTTTTTCTTGCAGTTAAGCATGAAGAAGAACGAAGAAAAAAAAAACCAAGCAAATCGGGAAGAGCGTTTCGAAAAGTTTGTGGCCGGTTTTGTTGCTGTAACGTTGCCAGGCTCTCTTTGTTCTATTCTATATGATTAAACGAAGTAATAAACCACAGCCCAAAAGAGGCTATTGGAATAAGACTGGTTTTCGATTCGATTCTTACAGCTCAAAAGGAAGAGGGCGCGTCGCACGACGACGATGGATAAGCTTTGATTTCTCAATGGCCGTACAGGCCACAGGTATGGCCGCCACTGGCATTTGTGGACCACAGGGCGGCTGAGAGAGAAACCCTAGTTGTAGAGCTTTCCTCGCGCAGGCGCGCGCTAGGGCAGCCTAGGGTTTTGGGAATGGCAGGGCCCCTGCAAGGTCCAGCAGCAGGATCGCTGGATCGGACTCCCTACGGCACAGGTCGCGGCGCTGCTGCTGGAGGGAAGATCAGGTCGGCGCGGCACCACCAGAATTTCAATCAGGATCATCAGGTCTCCAAGCCCGGGGGAGTGAGGAGAGGGCCGTATGACAGGCCCGTAGGGCGGAATCCTCCGCAGCCGGCGGCTCGGCGAGGTGCTTGGATTGGATCCAGGATTCTCAGCGGCGCTTCGTCCTTTTTGTCTTCCCTCTTCCGCCGGGACGGCGACGAGACGCTTGCGCTGCCGGCGCCGCCACCGCCGCAATCTTATCAGGTGAGGAATGGGATTTTGGCAGCTCACTGACTGTAGATTTTGATGCTCGTCAGGAGGGTTTAGTGAATCACGATGTGAATTTTGGGGGCTCGGGAGACCAGATTGAGGATTTGCTCAAGGACCGGATTTTTACAAGGTATTTGTGGTGTGCTCTGTGTGTTCCTACTGACCTTGGTTTTTACCAGGGAGCAATGTGACCGCTTTATCAAGGTTTTGCAGTCCAAGCTCCAGCCCACTATTCCTAATGGTCTTGTTGGTGATCGAGATCAGCGCTACCCAGAGGATGAGCTGGAAAGAGAACGGGAGAATGAAGGGGAACGAGATCGACTTGCGCATAGAAACATGGTATGTATAAAGTCCTTGCTACTCATTTTGCTGTCGGTCTCATGATAATACTTTTGGTGGTCTTTCAGGACCATCATGAGGACAGTGGGTCTTCGCCTGTTGACATCGCCAAGGCTTACATGGATAAGCGTTTGTCACCTGTTCCTGCGTCTGTATTTCCTATTAGAACTTTGGACTATGAGCGTACACATGAAGAGTACCGAGCTACTACTCCTCGAGTGGCTCCGACACCGCTTTCTCATATCAGAATAGCTACGCCGGGGCATACACCATATGTAAGACTGCCCAAACAACGCCCAAACAACGTGCGTGCGACTCCATATCCTGTGGAGGTTCGTGGTTGATTTTCTCTTGGTTGCATTTCTTATAACTTGTTTTCCGCAGAAAAAGAGACGTGTGGATGATGAGCTAGAATACACTGGGCGTCGTACAAAGTTGAAAATGACTCCAGCAAATGGCCCGCCTGTTTCGCTACTGCCGAGCGCGTCCAACGGAGGCTTCGCTGGTAGTTATTCCGATCGAATGAAAAATCTTCAAAGAAAGAGATGGGAGAAACGGAGTAAAGAAGATTCTGCAGCGGCCGTGCCAATGCAATCGTCAGAAACAGCCAGGAGAATTCTTGAGACACTAGAAATCTTGACACCGCCGAAGGTCATGTCTCTAGAGGAAGAACTTGCTGTCGTCAGGGAGAAGCGGCCAAAGGAACTATCACCTTCGATGATGAGCGAGCAGGCACGAAAAACTGAGCTGACTTTGGAATGCCCACTTTCCGACGCTTTACAAGATCATTCTCCCAGCCACCGTGCTACTGAAACTGGAGAGCCATCGTCATCAGCAGCCCCAGTGACAACGTCGGCTGAGCCAGCTGAAAACGATGCTAAGGGTAAAGCGGTTACGACGTCACCCGAGCTAAGTTCTCGTCCGTGGTCGCCTGTCTCGGCACAAATGACCAAAGGATTTCGTATGAATGCCGCTATGGAGGTAAGCTTTTGTTGTAAGAAGGGAACTTTGTGCTTACATTTTGTTGCTGTTATCGCAGGAGTCCAATTCTGATGATGAGGTCCAACCGATAGCAACCCCAGCAGTGTCTACACCCTCCGAAACAAAAACAACACAACTTTTTGCATCTCCAAGCTCTGTAGCTGACAGTAAGCCATCTTCTCCGCCTTTGGCCACTCTTACCGTACCGGCTGCCGAAAGCAAGAGTATGTTTGCATTTTCTACCGCGCCAGCGGCAGAGAAGAAAGCAACTTTTGAGGTGCAGAATTCGTCGCTTTTATTTACAACTTCTCCAGCAACCAGTACGGCTGCAGAAACGAAGTCAACTCAACTATTTGGATTTGCAACTGACAGTAAACCAGCATTTGCGCTTGCAGCAACTTCTACTGTTGCAGCGACCGAAGGCAAGGCTACTGTTGCGTTTCCTAGCACAGCAGTGGCAGAGAAGAAGCTATTCGCTGGGTTCGAGAGTTCTCATTCGACAGCACCTTCATTCACAGCTGCAAGTAAATCGGGTCCTCTATTTATGGCAACGACAGAGACAAAATCAACTCAACCATTTGGATCTTCGAATGACAGTGGGACACTGTTTGCATTTGGCGCAGCTTCTACTGCACCGGTGGCTGAGAGCAGAGGTGCCTTTGGATTCTCTAGCGTTCCAGTGGTGGAGAAGAAATCAGCGTCCGAGTTTCCGACGCAGGAGATTAAATCATTTACCGCTCCTTCAGCTGTCAGTAAAGCCGTCGAAACGAAATCAACTCCGCTTTTCGCATCGTCAAGCTCTGCAACGGACATTACTCCTTCCACAACCACTCCTGCAATGCCGGCAGCTGAAAGCAAGGCTACTTTCGCATTCTCGAGCGCTCCAGTGGCGGAGAACAAAGCGAGCTTCGAGTTTTTGGCCTCTCAGACATCAGAGACAAAGCCGGCTTTTTCATTCATCGCCACTCCAGCATCAGCTACAAGTAAACCGGTGTTTGCACCCGTCCCGGCAGCTGAAAGCAAGCCGGCCTTTTCATTTACGAACGCGCCACCAGCGGAAAAGAAGGCAGGCTTTGAGTTTGGAGGCGTAACAACGCCGGCATCTTTCACCTTTGGTTCCAACACAAACACCAGCCCGAGTATCTTCGGCATAGCTTCCTCAGCACCTTCTCCCACCACAGGCACGAGCTCTGCCTTGGGAACCGGGGACATGGAACAGGACATGGCCGAAGAGCCCGCGAGTGCTGTGCAGACGTCGCAGCCTGTAGCGTTCGGCAACACTCCGGTCCCGGCGGCTCAACCGTTCGTGTTTGGAAGTCCTCCACCAGCACTGCCAACATTTGGAGCGGCGTCGGCTCCCGACTTTGGTGCTCATCAGACATCGGCACCGGCATTTGGAGGCTTTGGATCGCAGCCATTTAGTTCTCAGTCTTCACCTTTTGGAGCTGCGGCTACTTCCGGCAGTGCTACCACCCCAGCGTCGGTTCAACCCTTCGTGTTTGGAAGCTCTCCGCCAGCACCAGCGTTTGGAGCGGCGTCAGCGCCTAGCTTTGGTGGTGGCAGTCCGCAAGCCAACCCGTTTGCGTCGCAGCCGCCGTTTGGTTCTCAGCCTTCGATCTTCGGCGCCCAGCAACCGGGGGCTGGAGCTACCCCGGCCGCTCCGGTGTTTGGATCTCAACCAGCAGGGGCGAATCCATTCAGTGGCTTTAGCGGATTTACAGTGGGAGCAGGGAATGCAGATGGCGAGCAGCGGACGAGGAAGCTTTTCAAGGCGAAGAGGACGGGTGCTTCGAAGAGGGGGAAGTGAGAGGAAGAGGAACAGGAAATGGTGGTGGTGGCGATGGCGGTGGCGACGGTGGCAGTGATTCTGGCTGGAGCTTAACAGGGAAGAAGAGAGGACGCTGGTTTGTCAGGCAGGACTGACTCTTGATCGATCGAGCTAGCGAAGTTCCAGCGAAGAAAACTCTCTCGATCGTTCGAGCTAGCGAAGATCCGGAGAGAGCTATTTTGCAGAGGTTGTCATGTTGATTGGAAAGTAAGCTATAGTTTTTTTAAATGAGAATGGATGGATGTTTTGTCCCGCTATAATTTTCTTGGCCTTTATTTTTCTGTTAGTTTAGTTACGATTGAAGGAAATTAGGGCTCCTGGTGCTCGGCTATGAGGCGTATTTCCTGGGCGGGAAGGAACGCGGGTATGGCGCTGTCGATGCAGCAGGACAAGGCCGTCACGGCGATCGCAGCGGCCGCCGCAGCTGGATGTAGCTTGTCCCAGCAGCAGCCATGGCAGCGGCGAGCTTCGGCCGGATTCGCGAGGCGCCAGGGCGGATTTGATGTCTTGAGGTTTGCTTTTGGGGGCCGTGAGAGGCGGCTTCAGCATGGCATGCCGCGGCAGTCGGTGCTGTTCTCCAAGCTGCCCTTTGATGAGATTGCCTCGCAGTTTTCTACGCGAGGTAAGAATGTAGCTTGGAATTTTTGGTGAGGTGTTGCTGATCTCTCTATCACTTGAAGCGTCCGAAGAGACAACGCATGTTACTTTCGATGAATCGGCTGTTTCCCTCCCACAACCGGCCAAGAAGTTTTCCACGCACAACTCAGCTTGCAAAAATGGCGAAGAGGTTTGCAAAAAAAAAAAATCCTTCTCTATATACTGAAGTCTCAAGCTTGCAGGGGTGCCAGAATGCTGAAACGGATTCTACCAGCCGGTGAGCTTGTTTACGTTTCGCGTGGCTATTGGTGAAATTCATGGTGTTCTTGCTTTTTAAGGTTGCTTCGACTCGACTATGCTGCGGCGATGCGTCCCCATCCTGAGAAGGTGCAAAGCTTACTTGCTAATTTTTGTAGATCTTCTAAGCTTTGCTGTTTACAGGCTCAAAGAGGGGGTGAAGATGCTTTCTTCACTGAAGGCTCCTGGATGGGTGTTGCTGATGGTGTTGGGGGCTGGGCCGGAGAAGGTAAGACAAATCTTTCTTTGAGTCTGTTTCTTCAAAAGAGTTTTTACTGGTTTTCAGGCATTGATTCGGGGATGTATTCTCGGGAGCTTATGGGACATTGTAAGGCATTGGTTGTAAACAGCAAAGGGAAACCGGACCCCAAGGACGTGCTTGTCAAAGCCGCCGGCAGTACAAAGGCCCAGGGATCAGCAACGGTCCTTGTGGCTGCATTGTTTGAGCAAGTAAGCTAGTCGGATTTGATGTTTGAGGCTGAGTCGGGTCATATATTTCAGACACTGTACGCAGCAAACTTGGGAGACTCGGGGTTCATCATAGTTCGCAATTGGCAAGTAGTTGCAAGCTCGGAGCCCATGCAGCATAGTTTTAACTTTCCGTTTCAAGTTGGAACATTTGGTGACCATCCGACGGTTGCAGAGGTACTCTTGCTTCTTTTCCCTTAACTTCGCTAATTTTCCGTCTACAGGAATTCAAGATCCCTGTCTGCAAGGGTGACATTATTGTTTTGGGAACTGATGGCCTTTTTGACAATCTCTTCAGCGACGACATAATCGAAGTTCTTAAAAAATCTCTTGGGTCCGACCAAGTCAACTTGAAGGTGAGCTCTCGCTGTTGAAGAATCTCAAGATTGCTGATAGTCTCTTCACTTTACAGGCAGCTGCAGCAGACCTTGTAGCTGGGGCGCAGGCCGAGCGTTTGGACAGCCCGTTTGCCAGGGCGGCTGCAAAGGCGAGAATGAATTGGAGCGGTGGAAAGCTAGATGATACCACGGCAGTTGTGGCGTTTGTGACGTGATATTTGAGTCGCGAAGGGTAAACATTTCAAGCAGTTTTTGCGGAGGCCAGTGTAAATTGCTCAGGCCGTTAATTTTTGCGGTATTTCCGGTTCTTACGCTAATTGAGGTATGACATCCTTTTGATTTGATTCAAACCGCTCATTCTTTGTGTCTTTGGTGTCCAGCCTTCATTAGAAACTGGTTTAAATCGCAGGTAGCTGCTGCTGAATCTTCTTTTTAGAAATCAAGGTTTTGTTCCATCAGAAGGTTCACAGCCTGGAAGTTCTAACCTCACTGGAGATTGAACACCGGACAGGACAGGTATCTCTTCTGTTTAGAGGGAACTGCTCAGGGTCACTTGAGGTGTTAGACATGTAGTTTAGCTGGACGATCACGAGCAAGCTCAAGATACTCAAGCTCTCCGGCAACATGATCTCTGGCTCGTCCTTCTCGGGGGTACATCGAGCTGCTAGGCCTTTGGCACGATGGGATCTTTCGCGACTGCGTGGCTCTCCAGGAGCTCTCACCCTCGTCCAGCATCAAACTCCAGAATGTCATGCTCGGCCCTACATCTCTCAGCCATCCAAGTGGGTGTGCGGGCTTGGAAGTGCTCGAACAACGTTTCAGAGGAGCTCGTGTGGGCTATCTTGTCTCTCAGCTTGGGCAGACTCTTTGAGTTTGCTCGGATCTCTCGGAGAACCGGTTGAAGGGGATGGTTCTGAAGGACTAAGTGGTGGAAACCCTGCTACGGTCGAATAGCAACAAAGAGCTCACGGAGAACAGTTTGAAGGACAGCTCCAGGCGAGCTCATGTGGAGGATCCTTGGATACCGCTCTCGTCCCAGTACCGTGAGACTCCACCAGAAAGATGGTGAGGAAGGTGGCGACAAGCCAATTGGCTGGAGCCGTGACTTCCTTCTTTGTCTCGAGTATTTGGTCGCGTGTCCCGTCCACATGGTGAGCCACGGAATTGTTTCTTAGTTGCTCAAATCTTAATTCTTTCCGATCTCCAGGTTGGTAATCACCATCACCAACTAAGAGGAATTTTTTGCATTGAGGCTTTGGAGTTCGGTAGGCGGCGAAGAAAAACTTTCCAGGATCGGAGGATGAAAAGTTACAGCCCGAGCTTGCTGTTCTTCGTGCTCCTCTTCTCCGCTGCGGCACTGCTACTCGTATGGATTCTCGACGTAAATTCCGACTCCGCGATGATGTCCCGGAGCCGAACTCTGGGATCAAACTTCCGCATCAGCAACAACACCACAAGCTACAACGGCAGCGACTCTTGCAGGAGTAGGAACGAGTACGACTTCTACAGCCGCCGAAGATCGGCGAGCTTCGAGCCATCCGAGTCGCTCCAACGGAAAATCCTAGAGTACGAGGCTTTGCACGGGAGGTGCGCTCCGGGGCCCGAGCAGTGCGCGAACTGTAGTACATGCGGCTACCTCGTCTACGTTCCCGCCAACCAGGGGATCGGCAACAAGATGGTGGCTATAGTAGCAGCGTTTCTCTACGCGCTGCTCACCGACAGGACGATGCTGATCGCGAGGTTGGAGAACCTGGACACGCTCTTCTGCGAGCCGTTTCCATCCAGCTCCTGGCTGCTGCCGTCGAGCTGGAAGCACCTCGAGTTGGCGCCGTGGGACGCCTCCAAGTGGATTGGGAGCCTGGCGGGTTCGCCCAACTGCAGCCGCGGCGTCGACGTGAGCTTCCCCGAGGTGGTGGTGGCCTATCTCGATTACAACTACAGGGACCAGGACAAGGCCTTCTTCTGCCAAGATCAACAGCAAGCTCTCAACTCCAGCGCGCGGTGGATCGTCCTCTCCTCCGGCCAGTACTTCACTCCGGCGCTCTACAACGTCCCGGCTTTCAGGAGCAAACTCGAGGAATTGTTCCCACAGCAGGAGGCCATCTTCCATCTCCTGGTGAGGTACCTGTTGCTTCCCAGTGACTTCGTGTGGGACAAGGCGGCCAGGTACTACGACGCGTACCTGGCCCAGGCCGAGCTTCTAGTCGGGGTCCAGCTGCGAAACCACATCTGGTTCTCGCCACCCAATCTCGCCGAGGATACGTTCGACTGCCTGGTGCAACAAGGCGCGCTCGCAAACACCACCCAGGAGCGAGCTCCCAGATCGTCGGTGAGGAAGAACAGCAAGAAGGTGGCGGTGCTGGTGGTGTCGCTCAACTCGCAGTACTCGGAGACGCTCAAGAGCAAGGTGCTGGGATACGATCTAGCGGACGGCTCCTCGGTGTCCATCCACCAGCCGAGTGTGGAGGGCGTGCAAAACACGGGGAACTTGGATCACGACGCACAGGCGGTGATGGAGATCTACTTGCTGTCGATGAGCGATGTCCTGGTGACGAGCCCGCCATCCACGTTTGACTATTCGGCGGCGGGGCTGGCGGGCGTGCGGCCCGTGCAGTTCGTGTGCGACCAGAACAAGAGCGTGGTTTGCTCGGTGAGGGAGACGATGGAGCCGTGCTACCACGTTTATCCGGCTCAGTTCGCGCTGGACAACATTGAAAAGTGCGAATGCGGCGTGGGTTTCAGACTAGTCTAAAGGACGTTCTTAGAAAGGATGTTGTCTTAGAAAGTTCTTAAAGCTTTAAGATTTTATTTTCTTTCTCGTGATAGATTTCTAAGTTGCTCCTTGGGTGCATCACGCAAATCTAGCGTCATTTGTAGACTTGCGCGGTCAGGTCATGCTCTTGGCCCACGCAAAGTTGCGTCAAGGCTGCTTTGAAATCCGACATACACGGAAAAGGTAATTTGGTACCAAGAGCTTATAGACTTTTAATGGCGAGCTGTCTTTTCTGCAGGACTTTGAAAAGCTGCTCGTAGAGTGTTCTGGCTTGGAAACTAACGAGTCTTGTTTTCACAAATGGCACGCGCAAAGGACTTGACTGTTTACCAAGCCCGGTGGAGAACTTTTTGTGTGAATATAAAACACTGGAGGCCCATTGGATCCAATCGTATCGGAGCAAGCACAGCTCTTGGTTCTTATACAACGATATCATCACTACATTTAGTGCTTTGTGGCTGGAATGGATCGTGGAAGGATGCTTCTTGCCATCGCATTGGTGATCATGATCAGCGGCAACATCGATTGTTCCAGGCCGGGCTCGTTTTCGGCGATGAGCCAGCAGGCCGAGCTTTTCAATTCCGAATTGCGCCTTCCTGTTGTTAACAAGATCCACAATCTTTTCGAAAGGACCTTCCGGAGAATGCTCATCCAGGGTCAGCCCACGCCATCCTCCGGCCCTTCCTGGTGCTGCCACGACCATCCATAGCATTTTCCTAAAACGATTTTTCATTTCAATACCACCATTATTTGGCTAATTGAAGGGGCGGACAGCCACGTGGCTGACACGTCACGCTGGGAGACGGCGGCGAATTCTCCTCCAAATCCTCCGCCTCCACCCCTTTCCCCATTCTTCCCCACCTCCGCTTCCTCCCATTACAGTCACACATCAATTTACCCAGCTTGCGTCCATGAGGCGCTTATCTCACCAAGGTGAAGGGGAATGATAAAGGCATCTTTCCATTTTTCCCTGTCAACTTCAAGAGACTTGAGAGCTGCTTGGAATTCCCCGAAGTTCCAGTCCAGCAAGTAAAGTCTCCACAAGACTTTCAGGGATGTCTTGTACAGCTGCGAACAATCAGCCGTGGTGGTGGCTTGCCCTTGTTCTGGCGAGAAGATCTGCAAAGAGGAGCGGCTGCAGTGAGTCTCGAAGATTCGCAGGTCGTTCGGATTGGGCATGGCTTGAGGGCCGGGCAGGGCAGGAGGGACAAGAGCCGGTGGTGCTAGAACAAGCTGCAGAGGGAAGTGGGCAGCACTGGCAAAGGCAGATTTTTTCCCACTTGACGATGGAGTCTCATTGAAATGCACGTCTGGTGAGATGATCAGCGTCTTGGAGACAGGATTGTAGACCTTGTAAGCCTTGTGTTCAATGCTATAGCCTAGGAAAATGCCGCTTGTTGAAGTGAGTTTTTTTCTAGTTTTAGAGGGGATATGGACGCCATGGAAGGTGCGCTAATCCATTTGAATTCCACTTTGTGCAAGAACCCTTGACAATCCTGGACCTCAACATTGGCAAGCACTTAAACGTGTCTTTTGGTACTTACGAGATATGTTTCCTTACAGTCTTAAGGCCAAGAGTCAAGCTATGTTTCCTTACAGTTTTAAGGCCAAGAGTCAAGCTATGTTTCCTTACAGTCTTAAGGCCAAGAGTCAAGCTTACTGGGCTGGCTTTGGCTATATTGTTTAGCCTTCGGTGTTGGGCCGGGTGTCGTTGAGGAGGCGGCAAAGCCAGATGGCCTCTTTGCATGCGGAACTAGCCTCCGCCTCACAGCTGGAGCAGGCAACGACGCTCTGCTTCTTGCTGCCAATTGCATTGTAATCTACTGTAACAATCATCACAAGATTAATTCCCGGACGAAACACGCACCACGCTGGGAGACACGTCCAGTTCTTTCCATGTTATGCAATCTTAATTGAACACCACAACAGCCTGGAAATCGAGTCCGCTGCTTCATCCCACCAAAAAATCTGATCTCGTGCACAGCATGAAACGAACATTCTCTGTGCCTCTCCTGATAGAGCCATACAGGACCTTCTCATGTCCAGCCAGCCACTCGATTATTATATGCAGCACACTCAAATACATCCAAGTAAATCTTGAAATCCTCGCAAAGTAGGCTAAATGAGTCTGCTTGAGGAGGGCTTAAGTGAGTTGGCAAGGTGTAGTTTTGGTCTTTCCCTTGAACATTGTAAGATCATGGACCTCACGTCACTACAGTGTCACCTTTAACTCATTGTAACGCCGCATAAAGGGATTACTGCGTTTGCTCAAGTCCTCGATGGGAGCGTGGAAGGTGATAGCGCCTACATCAGCTCCGTGAATCGCAACAAGGATTTCTTTATTCTCATGACAGGGGATTTTAGGATCGCGCCAGGCAGGGATCACTTCGTCTGCATGATCGATATCTTCGGCCGTGGCAGGGAGAATGCCGAGGAATTGCTGCGTGCCATGCCGTTTGTGCCAGATGCTCTGATTTGTAGGGTTTTGGTGGCATCTTGCCGATCGCATTACGATATGTTTCGGGCACTGGATCGACATATATGGCAAATCGCTCCAAGAGCGTGTTTAAAATGGAAATTGGCGGGAAAGCGATGTGTTTGTTTTCTAGCTGTGCATACTATCGAAAGGTGGAAAAAGAATTTATTTATCTTTCCATTCAGTCAAGTCAGCCTCCCAACCTTTGGAGAAACTTTCAAGTCATGCCGATGAGCTCTCTCAACTTCTGGATGAGACCACGGTCGTCAATCTGGAACGCTTTTGCGATCACGTTGTCGTTGATTGGAGGACTGGAATCAAACACCGCCTTGGCCACCTGAGTTGCCCCGGGGTTTTGGCTGTTGAAGCCAGCCATCGCAACCGCAGGCTCCTTTCCAACGTTGAGCTGGAAGTGAATGAGTCCCCGAGGGAAGACGAACAGATCTCCAGGATAGAGCATTTGGGCGAAGAGCTTGTTGTCCGGCAAGGTGGTGATGAATCCGACTAAGAGGTTCCCGTGCACGAGGAAGAGCAACTCGGATCCTCGGGGATGGACGTGGGGGGGATTGGTGCCGCCGGGAGCATAGTCGATGCGGGCAAAAGCTACACCAAAGGTGTTGAGACCGGGGAAATTGTTGACACTCGCCAGCGTGACGTTGGAGCCGAGCTTGTTGTCGGTGTTCCCGGGAGTCGCCAGCAGGCTCGACTTGAAGTCCTCGGCTTTCACATCGGCGGCCGCCTTGCAGACGACGCCGTTCACTTTGATCTTGGAGCCATTGTCTGCAACGCAAAAGTCCTACAGCATATCTTCATCCGCAGCATGTACAAACAAGATGGAGCTGATTGCTAGGAGGAAGGATAGAACAAAACGAAGATGAGCCATCTTGCGAGCTTGGAAAAGACTGATGGAGCTATATGAGGGAGGGGCAGGCATTTTATAGCCGGAGGAGGGGAGGCGAGGTCCTTTGGATGACTTCGTCGTGAATCGTGCACGATTTTAGGTACACGGTCTTCTGTTCCCTTCTATTTCATTTTTTACTCTTGCTGTCCGCATAACACAATCCGATTTGTTTGCTGCCAAGTCGTCTCGGAAGTTTTCTTTTACCGGGCTTGTCTAGAGCCGTCCAAATCATCTTTTCTTAGATGATGACGACCTTGGTTTTGATGGTAGGAACCGGTCTCAGTGAAACTCGAGTTTTACACGGTCTTGGTAAAAGCTTTACACTAAATTGCTTTATTCTTCTTGGCACCAGAGACTTTTTATATGTGGAGTTTTAATGGAATTATTATGGATTGTGTAGGTCCATTGCTGATACAAATAAACTATGGGTATATCGACCAAAGGTACGTCTATGTAGGTTATCAATTTTGCAGACAATTATGTTGTCAGAAGGATAGTTGCTCACGTAGTCATGAGATATATATAGTCATAGTCATTGTGATTATTGTTTGCATCATTGTCATGGGCAAAATAGAATGTTTATTGCTGCCACTTTATTAATCAATTTAATGCAATAAACTTATGATATTAAAAAAATTTATAATTTGTCCCACCATTGCAATCTAGGAAAGCATCCAGTTGGGGTGGTGGGAGTGAACTGAGAAATACTCATTTATTTCTCATGTGCTGCTGTGTGAGCATGTCAATCAATCAGCTGACCTCAGTATTAGTGGTCGTGGGCAGTGCATTCTAAAGCTCTTTGACTTGTTGGGCAAAGTCGGGCACCCATGCTGGCATGACTTGGTCGTGACCACAGCAAGTTTTGGTTGTTGATATGCAACTAGAACTTGTTTTAAACAGCATATGCATCCTAGTCAAACATGAGGCAGTTAAGAACTCTTGGAATTCCCCACTATTGCAAAGAAATAAAGAAAAAATATCAATGATTACTCTATTTAACTTTCACTCACCATTTTGTTAAGGAAAAACTTAAACAATACACCACATTATTAAAGAATAGTTTAAACGACCAGGATGTAATCGTTTGTACTACTCCTATTCCATCTATAGTGCCCAATTGTGTAGTGCTGTTAACAATGTAAAGTTGGGAGGCGGCATTAGTCATGTGGATGTCCTCCGCTGCTGCCTGGTTCGAGGAGCCCTTCCACTGTTGTGAGTTGAGCCTGCAAAGTCTGTTGCAATATTAAAAACGTTTAATTGCCCAGCAAGCCTCACTGGTTTGATCAGTCAGTGTATAGTTTTATCTTAAGAGTAACATTCCACGAACTAGAGAGTAGAATTTAGATGCTCAACCAAAGTCCCACCCATATCCATAACCCACGCCTTGTCCACCAGTGGAATCAACTCTCTGCGAGGAAAGAAAATAAGATCCAAGCACTAATCACGCAAGTTTACCGCAGATCATGGCTCACAACGAGCAACGTCCTCTCCTTCTTTAAGTACGTGAGGTAAGAATGTAGATTGGAATTTTTGGTGAGGTGTTGCTTTAATGAAAGGTGAAACCGTGTGATGGTGCTCAAGATCCGTCATAGCATATATGGAATGGAAAATGTACATATGTGTGACATGGTGAACCGGTGAAAACTCGTGTCTCTCCACGTGGACTAGCCACGTGGCACAGGGCCACTCTCAACACTCCCAGTGGCACTGTGGCCATCACGAGTGATGCTCATCAGTGGAGAAAGTCCCAGCCCTTCGCGATGGACTTGAAATCGATCTTGGGGTAGTGCTTTTGTGAAGATATTTGCAACCTGAGTGGTTGTGTCACAGTAGATCAGCTCAATTGTGCCATCTTCCACTTTCTCACGAACAAAATGATGATGAATCCCAAAGTGTTTGGTGCGTGAATGAAAGCGAGGATTGGCCGCTAACGCAATGCAGCTTTGATTGTCGCAGAAGAGGCGAGTGGGAGTCTTCACACTCACACCAAGGTTAGAAAGTAGTGAGCGTAACCACACACCTTCTTTGGTAGCTTGTGAGGCTGCCAAATATTCTCCTTCAGTACTAGAGGTTGCCACTGTACTTTGCTTCCTGCTGCACCACGAGACTGTCGCACTGCCCAGGGAAAACGAATAGCCAGAGGTGGACTTGCGTGTGTCACAGTCTCCCCCAAAATCAGCATCACAGTAGCCCGTGAGGGTAAGCGCTTTTCCCTGGTAGCACAATCCAAGGTAAGTAGTACCTCGAAGGTACCTGAAGATGCGTTTCACTGCTGCCCAATGTTGAGATCCAGGATTAGCCAGGAATTGGCTAACTTTGCTCACGGCAAAAGAAATATCTGGGCGCGTACAAACAGCTGGATACATGAGACTGCCAACAGCTTGTCTGTAAGGGATGGAGTCCATGGCTCTCTTGTCTTCCTCTGTCTCAGGAGACATGGCTCGTGAAAGCTGGCAGCCTAGTTCCATTGGTGTCGCCACTGGATTAGAGCTCGTCATAGAAAACCTGGCCAGTATATCTTCTATATACTTGGCTTGGTGAAGATAGATAGTGCGTTGAGAGCGATCACGCACAAGTTCCATGCCAAGAAAGTAGGAAGCCGAGCCAAGAGTTTTCATCTCAAATTGGCTGCAAAGATCTCGCTTAACCTGGAGAAACATTAAGCGATGATTATGGATGACAAGAGTATCATCAACATAAAGAGCGATGATCACAAATGATTCACCCTCCACCCGAATATAAAGATTCGGGTCTGCCTCGCTACGGGAAAAGCCCACACTTAGTATAAAATTGTCAAAGCGTTTGTACCAAGATCTGGGTGCTTGTTTCAAGCCGTAGACAGCTTTCTTGAGAAGCCAGAGATGATCCTCTTTTCCAGCGGCTAGAAATCCTTCTGGCTGTGCCATATAGATTTCTTCTTCAAGCGCACCATAAAGGAATGCCGTGGTCACATCCATCTGTTCCAGATCAAAGTCTCCCACCGCAGCAAAATTAATCAAGGAACGAAGAGTAGAATGTTTAACCACTGGAGCGAAGGTGTCGTTGTAGTCAAGTCCAGGAACTTGCGAGCATCCTTTTGCCACCAATCGCACCTTGTAGCGAACCGAGCCATCAGGATTAAGCTTCAGAGCATACACCCACATGCTCTTGATAATCTGGCGATTGGAAGGCACAGTTGGAACAAGAACATGTGTCTCGTTCTTTTGCTGTGAAGCAATCTCGGCTTCCATTGCTACACGCCAGTAAGACGCTTCCTGTGAGGCCATGGCTTCTCCATAGGTCCTCGGAACAGTAGGAGTCCCAGCTGCACGAGAGGAGACCATTGTCTCGATGAGACGCTCAGTAGGCTACTTCCAGACTTTCAAGGATATGGGAGAAACACAAACTGGGAAAATGCTCAAGCGATTGAGAAGTGATGGTGGAGGCGAATTCACTTCCAATGCTTTCAACCAGCTGTGTGAGCAAGGAGGGATTGTGCGAGAACTTACAACGCGAGAGACTCCACAACAGAATGGCGTAGCTGAGCGCAAGAATCGCACACTAGTGGAGAGTGCTCGGGCAATGCTACTTTCCAGTGGTTTGCCTCGCAGCTTCTGGTTTCACGCTGTCTTGACGGCGAACTATCTCCAGAACCGGCTCCCCACCTCTGCCCTTGCTGGCATCACTCCTGAAGAAGCATGGAGTGGCAAGAAACCTACAGTTACGCATTGGGCACACATCCCTGATGGAATGCGCAAGAAATTGGACCCCAAGAGCCAGAAGGCTGTGTTTGTGGGCTACAGCCTCGATCACAAAGCCTATCGTCTCTGGAATCCAATCACGAAGCAGGAGATCCTGAGCAGAGATGTGGTTTTCAACGAGAATTCTTTTCTTCCTTCTAGTCAAGGTTCTACTTCCAGACCTACCTTGACCGAAGAAAATGACGTTGAAGCGGAACAAGATCAGTTGACTGTCGGCACGATCACTGTGCCGCTTCAAACAGTCCCTACGCAACAACCCATGCCCGCTTCTACTCCAACACCACCAGCCCCGCCGCCTCCTCCAGATCCTCTACGCAGATCGATCCGCACAAGGCGCACTGGACGACTAAGAACCTGGATCTAGACTTCAACGAGTGGTGGGATTGGGTATCGGCACCCATGGCAGCCACTGTTCCTACAAATCCGCCTCCAAATCCACCACCTATTTCCCCTCCCATCACAAATCCGACTGTGCCTACAGCGGATATCGTTTCAGTGGACGCAAATCCACCAAAATTTGATGGGAGCAACTGGTGCTTCTGGAAGACAAAATTCGAATCCTATATGGATGAACGAGGCCTCTGGGACATCACCACAGGAACTGAGACACTTCCAGATACAGCTACAGTGGATGAAACTGCGAAGTATCGCAAGAAGGACCGGAGAGCTTTGGGCAAATTCCATGCAGCGCTGGAGGGGCGAGAATTTCATTGCATTGGACGGTGCAAGAGTGCAAAGGAAGCGTGGGAGGCCATGAAGCAGACTTACCAGATCCCTTCAACATCCCATCGCATTTTTTTACGGAAGCAGCTTCATGCACTGGTGATGGCTGAAGGGGACGACCTCAAGGATCATCTTGCTGCAGCGAGAACAATCTTAGATGATCTTAAGGATGTGGGAGCAAACATAGAGGATGAAGAAGAAGCAGAGCTGGTGCTCGTCACACTTCCTCCATCCTTTGATCCTCTCATACGTAACAGCCTCCAGGACGATGATCTGAGACGAAGAGCAACAACAGGATCAGAGGCCGTTGCATTCTACTCTTCTCTCAGGAAAGAAACAGTGAACAAAGGGAAACAAGGAGCCTCTTCATCCAAGAAGCCCAAGTGTTCTCATTGCAACAAGAAAGGCCATGACGAAGCTCAATGCTGGGTGAAAAATCCATCTCTCAAGCCTGTAAGGAACAATGCAAAGAAAAAGGTGGTACACGCCTTCATCTTGTCACGAGCTATGGCAGTGGCAGCACTGTCTACAGAGTGCATCTACCTGGATTCTGCTGCTACAGACCATATGTTCAACAGTGATAAGTACTTTGAAGCCTATGATCCTACAGCCACAGAGGAGTATGTCATCGTTGGCAATGCCCAGCAGCTTGCTGTGAAAGGAATTGGAACCATCAAGTTGACTTTACCACAAGGAATAGTCGTAAAGATCCACAAGGTTATTCCTGGTTTATGTGCTAATTTGTTCTCTGTGGGACAATTTGCTGAGGATGGGTATCAGTTCGCCATTACACCTCCCTTACCATGCTGCCAGATCTTGCTGGACGGAGTCTGGGCCTACACGCACAAAAGACAACGACCAGTCACTCACTGGAGCTTTGGCACGCACGCCTGGGGCATCCTAGTGCTGATAGAATCAAGCATCTCGCACGCGAGCAGATGGTTGAAGGTCTAGACCTGGACCCAAGAGCAGTTCTTCCATTGTGCCAGGGCTGTCAGCTAGGAAAATCTACTCGCCAACCTTTCCCCAAGACTGGAGCATCTCGAGGAACTTGTACACACTGATGTGTGTGGCCCGATGGCCACCACAGCAGTGGGAGGTATCCAATACTTTATCAGTTTCATTGATGACTACAGTCGTCGCACTATGATCTACCCTATGGCTCGCAAATCCCAATCGTTACACCCTCTTGCAAGGCCTGGAGCGCTTGGATTAGGGCATGCCTCTGTCCGGAGGCTCCGATTCACCCTAGCAAGTGTTGCCCTGATCCTATGGTTTCGAATTCTTCTCGCTCTCCCAGGCATTGCTCTGATACCATCTAACGAAAGGTGAAACCGTGTGATGGTGCTCAAGATCCGTCATAGCATATATGAAAATGTACATACGTGTGACATGGTGAACCGATGAAGACTCGTGTCTCTCCACGTGGACTAGCCACGTGGCACAGGGCCACAGTTGCTGATCTCTCTATCTCTTGAAGCGCCCGAAGAGACAACGCATGTTACTTTCGATGAATCGGCTGTTTCCCTCCCACAACCGGCCAAGACACACAACTCGGCTTGCAAAAATGGCGAAGAGGTTTGCAATTTTTTTTTTCCTTCTCTATATACTGAAGTCTCAAGCTTGCAGGGGTGCCAGAATGCTGAAACGGATTCTACCAGCCGGTGAGCTTGTTTTCTCGCGTGGCTATTGGTGAAATTCATGGTGTTCTTGCTTTTTAAGGTTGCTTCGACTCGACTATGCTGCCGCGATGCGTCCCCATCCTGAGAAGGTGCAAAGCTTACTTGCTAATTTTTGTAGATCTTCTAAGCTTTGCTGTTTACAGGCTCAAAGAGGGGGTGAAGATGATTTCTTCACTGAAGGCTCCTGGATGGGTGTTGCTGATGGTGTTGGGGGCTGGGCCGGAGAAGGTAAGAAAAATCTTTCTTTGAGTATGTTTCTTCAAAAGAGTTTTTACTGGTTTTCAGGCATTGATTCGGGGATGTATTCTCGGGAGCTTATGGGACATTGTAAGGCATTGGTTGTAAACAGCAAAGGGAAACTGGACCCCAAGGACGTGCTTGTCAAAGCCGCCGGCAGTACAAAGGCCCAGGGATCAGCAACGGTCCTTGTGGCTGCATTGTTTGAGCAAGTAAGCTAGTCGGATTTGATGTTTGAGTCTGAGTCGGGTCATATATTTCAGACATGTACGCAGCAAAATTGGGAGACTTGGGTTCATCATAGTTCGCAATTGGGAGCCCATGCAGCATAGTTTTAACTTTCCGTTTCAAGTTGGAACTTTTGGTGACCATCTTTTCCCTTAACTTTGCTAATTTTCCGTCTACAGGAATTCAAGATCCCTGTCTGCAAGGGGGACATCATTGTTTTGGGAACTGATGGCCTTTTTGACAATCTCTTCAACGACGACATAATCGAAGTTCTTAAAAAATCTCTTGGGTCCGACCAAGTCAACTTGAAAGTGAACTCTCGCTGTTGAAGAATCTCAAGATTGCTAATATTCTCTTCACTTTACAGGCATGTAGCTGGGGCGCAGGCCGAGCGTTTGGACAATTGGAGCGGTGGAAAGCGACGTGATATTTGAGTCGCGAAGGGTAAACTTTTCAAGCAGTTTTTGCGGAGGCCAGTGTATAGGCCGCGGTATTTCCGGTTCTTACGCTAATTGAGCACCCTTTTGATTGGCTCATCTTCGTGTCTTTGGTGTCCAGCCTTCATTAGAAACTGGTTTAAATCGCAGGTAACTGCTGCTGAATCTTCCTTTAAGAAATCAAGGTTTTGTTCCATCAGAAGGTTCACAGCCTGGAAGTTCTAGCCTCACTGGAGATTGAACTCCGGACAGGACAGGTATCTCTTCTGTTTAGAGGGAACTGCTCAGGGTGTTAGACGTGCCAGGGAATCAGTTCAGCTGGACGATCACGAGCCGGCAACATGATCTCTGGCTCGTCCTTCTCGGGGGTACATGGAGCTGCTAGGCCTTTGGCGCGATGGGATCTTTCGCGACTGCGTGGCTCTCCAGGAGCTCTTCAACAGTCTCACTCCCCCATCCAGCAGCAAACTCCGGAATCTCATGCTCGGCTCTACATCTCTCAGCCATCCAAGTGGGTGTGCGGGCTTGGAAGTGCTCGAACAACGTTTCGGAAGAGCTGTGTGGGCCGTATCTTGTCTCTCAGCTTGGGCAGACTCTTTGAGTTTACTCGGATCTCTCGGAGAACCGGTTGGAGGGGCTGGTTCTGAAGGACTAAGTGGTGGAAACCCTGCTACGGTCGGATAGCAACAAAGAGCTCACGGAGAACAGCTTGAAGGACAGCTCCAGGCAAGCTCGTGTGGAGGATCCTTGGATACCGCTCTCGTCCCAGTACCGTGAGACTCCACCAGAAAGATGGTGAGCGACGAAGGCAATTGGCTGGAGCCGTGACTTCCTTCTTCGTCTCGAGTATTTGGTCGCGTGTCCCGTCCACATGGTAAGCCACGGAATTGTTTCTTAGTTGCTCAAATCTTAATTCTTTCTGATCTCCAGGTTGGTAATCACCATCACCAACTAAGAGGAATTTTTTGCTTTGAGGTGGAGTTCGGTAGGCGACGAAGAAAAACTTTCCAGGATGGGAGGATGAAAAGTTACAGCCCGAGCTTGCTGTTCTTCGTGCTCCTCTTCTCCGCTGCGGCACTGCTACTCGTATGGGTTCTCGACATAAATTCCGACTCCGCGATGATGTCCCGGAGCCGAACTATGGGATCAAACTTCCGCATCAGCAACAACACCACAAGCTACAAGGGCAGCGACACTTGCAGGAGTAGGAACGAGTACGACTTCTACAGCCGCCGAAGATCGACGAGCTTCGAGCCATCCGAGTCGCTCCACCGGAAAATCCTAGAGTACGAGGCTTTGCACGGGAGGTGCGCTCCGGGGCCCGAGCAGTGCGCGAACTGTAGTACATGCGGCTACCTCGTCAATGTTCCCGCCAGCCAGGGGATCGGCAACAAGGTGGTGGCTATAGTAGCAGCGTTTCTCTACGCGCTGCTCACCGACAGGACGATGTTGATCGCGAGGTTGGAGAACCTGGACACGCTCTTCTGCGAGCCGTTTCCATCCAGCTCCTGGCTGCTGCCGTCGAGCTGGAAGCACCTCGAGTTGGCGCCGTGGGACGCCTCCAAGTGGATTGGGAGCCTGGCGGGATCGCCCAACTGCAGCCGCGGCGTCGACGTGAGCTTCCCCGAGGTGGTGGTGGCCTAGGACAAGGCCTTCTTCTGCCAAGACCACAGCAGGAGGCCATCTTCCATCTCCTGGTGAGGTACCGGTTGCTTCCCAGTGACTTCGTGTGGGACAAGGCGGCCAGGTACTACGACGCGTACCTGGCCCAGGCCGAGCTTCTAGTTGGGGTCCAGCTGCGAAGCCACATCTGCCCAACCTCGCCGAGGATACGTTCGACTGCCTGGTGCAACAAGGCCCGCTCGCAAACACCACCCAGGAGCGAGCTCCCAGATCGTCGGTGAGGAAGAACAGCAAGAAGGTGGCGGTGTTGGTGGTGTCGCTCAATTCGCAGTACTCGGAGACGCTCAAGAGCAAGGTGCTGGGATACGATCTAGCGGACGGTTCCTCGGTGTCCATCCACCAGCCGAGCGTGGAGGGGGTGCAAAACACAGGGAACTTGGATCACGACGCACAGGCGGTGATGGAGATCTACTTGCTGTCGATGAGCGATGTCCTGGTGACGAGCCCGCAATCCACGTTTGGCTACTCGGCGGCAGGGGTGGCGGGCGTGCGGCCCGTGCAGTTTGTGTGCGACCAGAGAGCGTGGTTTGCTCGGTGAGGGAGACGATGGAGCCGTGCTACCACGTTTATCCGGCTCAGTTCGCGTTGGGCAACATTGAAAAGTGCGAATGCGGCGTGGGTTCAAGCTTTTAAGATTTTATTTTCTTTCTCGTGATAGATTTCTAAGTTGCTCCTTGGCTGCATGATGCAACTCTAGCGTCTTTTGTAGATTTGCGTGGTCAGCTAGCTCATGCTCTTGGCCCACGCAAAGTTGCGCCAAGGCTGCCTTGAAATCCCACATACACGGAAAAGGTAATTTGGTGCCAAGAGCTTATAGACTTTGAATGGCGAACTGTCGTTTTGTCCAGGACTTTGAAAAGCTGCTCGTATAGTGTTCTGGCTTGGAAGCTAACGAGTCTTGTTTTGACAGATGGCACGCGCAAAGGACTTGACTGTTTACCAAGCCCGGTGGAGAACTTTTGTGTGAATATAAAACACTGGAGGCCCATTGGATCCAATCGTATCGGAGCAAGCACAGCTCTTGGTTCTTATACAACGATATCATCACTATGTTTAGTGCTTTTGTGGCTGGAATGGATCGTGCAAAGATACTTCTTGCCATCGCATTGGTGATCATGATCAGCGGCAACATCGAATGTTGCAGGCCGCGTTTTCGGTGATGAGCCGGCAGGCCGAGCTTTTCAATTCCGAATTGCGCCTTCCTGTTGTTAACAAGATCCACACTCTTCTCGAAAGAACCTCCCGGAGAATGCTCATCCAGGGTCAGCCCACGCCAGCTCCCGGGCCTTCCGGGTGCTGCCACGATAATTGAAGAGGCGGACAGCCACGTGGCTGACACGTCACGCTGGGCAGGCTCTTTTCATCTAAATCCTCCACCTTCCCCACCTCCGCTCCCTCCCATTACAGTCACACATCAATTTACAGCTTGCGTCCAGGAGGCGGTTGTCTCACCAGGTGAAGGGAAATGATAAAGGCAACTTTCCATTTTTCCTTGACTTGAGAGCTGCGTGGAATTCCCAGAAGTTCCAGTCCAGCAAGTAAAGTCTCCACAAGACTTTCAGGGATGTCTTGTACAGCTGCGAACAATCAGCCGTGGTGGTGGCTTGCCCTTGTTCTGGCGAGAAGATCTGCAAAGAGGAGCGGCTGCAGTGAGTCTTGAAGATTCGCAGGTCGTTCGGATTGGGCATTGGGCAGCAATGGCAAAGGCAGATTTTCTCCCACTTGACGTGATGGAGTCTCATTGGAATGCACGTCTGGTGAGATGATCAGCGCCTTGGAGACAGGATTGTAGACCTTGTAAGCCTTGTGTTCAATGCCATAGCCTAGGAAAATGCCTCGTTCGCTTGTTGGAGAGTTATAGAGGGGATATGGACGCCATGGAAGGTGCGCTAATCCATTCGAATTCCACTTTGTGCAAGAACCCTTGACAATCCTGGACCTCAACATTGGCAAGCACTTAAACGCGTCTTTTGGTACTTCCGAGATACGTTTTCTTACGGTCTTAAGGCCACGAGTCAAGCTTACTGGGCTGGCTTTGGCTAAATTGTTTAGCCTTCACAATGCAGTTAGCAGCAAGAAGAAGAGCGTCGTTGCCTGCTCCAGCTGTGAGGCGGAGGCTAGTTCCGCATGCAAAGAGGCCATCTGGCGTCGCCGCCTCCTCAACGACACCCCGCCCAACACCAATCTACTGTGAGAATCAAGGCTACGTCGCCTCGAGCAAACATCACAAGATTAATTCCCGGACGAAACACGCACCACGCTGGGAGACACGTCCAGTTCTTTCCATGTTCTTGTGATTCCAATCTCGATAATGCAATCTTAATTGAACATCACAACAGCCTGGAAATCGAGTCCACTGCTTCATCCCACCAAACAATCTGATCTCGTGCACAGCATGAAACGAACTCTCCTGATAGAGCCATACAGAACCTTCTCATGTCCAGCCACTTGATTATTCTATGCAGCACACTCAAATACGTCCAGGTAAATCTCGAAATCCTCTCAAAGTAGGCTAAAGGAGATACTTTCTCATCTTGCCAAAAGCCCCTTCTAACAGGGTTAGAGAGGGCTTGGGTGAGTTGGCAAGGTGTAGTTTTGGTCTTTCCCTTGAAAGATCATGGACCTCACTTCACTACAGTGTCACCTTTAGCCCATTACAATGCTGCATAAAGGGATCACTGCGTTTGCTCATTGTGGCGAGGGCGAGAAAGTCCTCGATGGGAGCGTGGAAGGTGACACTCCGGCCTGCGCCTACATCAGCTCCGTGAATCGCAACAAGGATTTCTTTCTTCTCGTGACAGGGGATTTTAGGATCGCGCCAGGCAGGGTCTGCATGATCGATATGTTCGGCTGGAGAATGCCGAGGAATTGCTGCGTGCCATGCCGTTTGTGACGGATGCTCTGGTTTGTAGGGTTTTGGTGGCATCTTGCCGATCGCATTACGATATATATCGGGCATTGGATGGCAAATCGCTCCAGGAGCGTGTTTAAAATGGAAATTGGCGGGAAAGCGATGTGTTTGTTTTTTATTCTATCTAGCTGTGCTTACGAAAGTTTCCGAAAGGTAAGAGCTTTGGAAAAATAATTTATTTATATATGTAACTTAGTCAAGTCAGCCTCGCAACCTTTGGAGAAACTTTCAAGTCATGCCGATGAGCTCTCTCAACTTCTGGATGAGACCACGGTCGTCAATTTGGAACGCTTTCGCGATCACGTCGTCGTTGATTGGAGGATTGGAATCAAACACCGCCTTGGCCACCTGAGTCGCCCCGGGGTTTTGGCTGTTGAAGCCAGCCATCGCAACCGCAGGCTCCTTTCCAACGTTGAGCTGGAAGTGGACGAGTCCCCTAGGGAAGACGAACAGATCTCCAGGATAGAGCATTTGGGCGAAGAGCTTGTTGTCCGGCAATGTGGTGACGAATCCGACTAAGAGGTTCCCGTGCACGAGGAAGAGCAGCTCGGATCCTCGGGGATGGACGTGGGGGGGATTGGTGCCGCCGGGAGCATAGTCGATGCGGGCAAAAGCTACACCAAAGGTGTTGAGACCGGGGAAATTGTTGACACTCGCCAGCGTGACGTTGGAGCCGAGCTTGTTGTCGGTGTTCCCGGGAGTCGCCAGCAGGCTCGACTTGAAGTCCTCGGCTTTCACATCGGCAGCCGCCTTGCAGACGACGCCATTCACTTTGATCTTGGAGCCATTGTCTGCAACGCAAAAGTCCTGCAGCATATCTTCATCCGCGGCATGCACAAACAAGATGGAGCTGATTGCTAGGAGGAAGGATAGAACAAAACGAAGATGAGCCATCTTGCGAGCTTGGAAAAGACTGATGGAGCTATATGAGGGAGGGGCAGGCATTTTATAGCCGGAGGAGGGGAGGCGAGGTCCTTTGGATGACTTCGTCGTGAATCGTGCACGATTTTAGGTACACGGTCTTCTGTTCCCTTCTATTTCATTTTTTACTCTTGCTGTCCGCGTAACACAATCTGATTTGTTTGCTGCCAAGTCGTCTCGGAAGTTTTCTTTTACCGGGCTTGTCTAGAGCCGTCAAAATCATCTTTTATGTGTGTAGATGATGACGACTGATGGTAAGAACCGGTCTCAGTGAAACTCGAGTTTTACACGGTCTTAAAAACTTGACACTAAATTGCTTTATTCTTCTACCAGAGACTTTTTATGTGTGGAGTTTTAACGGAATTATTATGGATTGTGTAGGTCCATTGCTGATACAAATAAACTATGGGTATATCGACCAAAGGTACGTCTATGTAGGTTATCAATTTTGCAGACAACTGTGTAGAAGGATAGTTGCTCACATAGTCATGAGACATACATAGTCATAGTCATTGTGATTATTGCTTGCATCATTGTCATGGGCAAAATAGAATGTTTATTGCTGCTACTTTATTAATCACTTTAATACAATAAACTTATGATATTAAAAAGTTTAATAATTTGTCCCACCATTGCAATCTAGGAAAGCATCCAGTTGGGGTGGTGGGAGCGAACTAAGAAAACACTCCTGTGCTGCTGTGTGAGCATGTCAATCAGTCAGCTGACCTCAGTATCAGTGGTCGTGGGCAGTGCATTCTAAAGCTCTTGGACTTGTTGGGCAAAGTCGGGCACCCATGCTGGCATGACTTAGTCGTGGCCACAGTGAGTTCTGGTTGTTGATAGGAGTGTTGTAAGCAGCATACGCATCCTAGTCAGACATGAGGCGGTCAAGAACTCTTGGAATTCCCCGCCATACCATTTTGTCAAGGAAAAATCTAAACAGTACACCACATTATTAAAGAATAGTTTGGCTGACCAAAATGTAATCGTTTGTACTACTCCTGTTCCATCTATGGTGCCCAATTGTGTAGTGCTGTTAACAATGTAGAGTTGGGAGGCACCATTAGTCATGTGGATGTCCTCCGCTGCTGCCTGGTTCCAGGAGCCCTTCTGCTGTTGTTAGTTGAGCCTGCAAAGTCCATTGCAATATTAAAAACGTTTAATTGCCCAGCCAGTCTCACTGGTTTGATCGGTCAGTGTATAGTTTTATCTTAAGAGTAACATTCCACGAACTAGAGAGTAGAATTTAGCTGCTCAACCAAAGTCCCACCCATATCCATAACCCATGCCTTGTCCACCAGTGGAATCAACTCTCTGCGAGGAAAGAAAATAAGATCCAAGCACTAATCACGCAAGTTTACCGCAGATCATGGCTCATAACGAGCAACGTCCTCTCCTTCTTTAAGCACGCGAGGTAAGAATGTAGCTTGGAATTTTTGGTGAGGTGTTGCTGATCTCTCTATCTCTTGAAGCGCCCGAAGAGACAACGCATGTTACTTTCGATGAATCGGCTGTTTCCCTCCCACAACCGGCCAAGACACACAACTCGGCTTGCAAAAATGGCGAAGAGGTTTGCAATTTTTTTTTTCCTTCTCTATATACTGAAGTCTCAAGCTTGCAAGGGTGCCAGAATGCTGAAACGGATTCTACCAGCCAGTGAGCATGTTTACGTTTTGCGTGGCTACTGGTGAAATTCATGGTGTTCTTGCTTTTAAGGTTGCTTTGACTCAACTATGCTGCCGCGATGCGTCCCCATCCTGAGAAGGTGCAAAGCTTACTTGCTAATTTTTGTAGATCTTCTAAGCTTTGCTGTTTACAGGCTCAAAGAGGGGGTGAAGATGCCTTCGTCACAGAAGGCTCCTGGATGGGTGTTGCTGATGGTGTTGGGGGCTGGGCCGGAGAAGGTAAGACAAATCTTTCTTTGAGTCTGTTTCTTCAAAAGAGTTTTTACTGGTTTTCAGGCATTGATTCGGGGATGTATTCTCGGGAGCTTATGGGACACTGTGGCATTGGTTGTAAACAGCAAAGGGAAACCGGACCCCAAGGACGTCAGTACAAAGGCCCAGGGATCAGCAACGGTCCTTGTGGCTGCATTGTTTGAGCAAGTAAGCTAGTCGGATTTGATGTTTGAGGCTGAGTCGGGTCATATATTTCAGACATGTACGCAGCAAACTTGGGAGACTTGGGTTCATCATAGTTCAAGCTCGGAGCCCATGCAGCATAGTTTTAACTTTCCGTTTCAAGTTGGAACATTTGGTGACCATCCGACGGTTGCAGAGGTACTCTTGCTTTTCCCTTAACTTCGCTAATTTTCCGTCTACAGGAATTCAAGATCCCTGTCTGCAAGGGGGACATCATTGTTTTGGGAACTGATGGCCTTTTTGACAATCTCTTCAACAACGACATAGTCGAAGTTCTTAAAAAATCTGACCAAGTCAACTTGAAGGTGAACTCTCGCTGTTGAAGAATCTCAAGATTGCTAATATTCTCTTCACTTTACAGGCATGTAGCTGGGGCGTAGGCCGAGCGTTTGGATAGCCCGTTTGCTAGGGGGGCTGCAAAGGCGAGAATGAATTGGAGCGGTGGAAAGCTGTTGTGGCGTTTGTGACGTGATATTTGAGTCGCGAAGGGTAAACTTTTCAAGCAGTTTTTGCGGAGGCCAGTGTAAATTGCTCAGGCCGCGGTATTTCCGGTTCTTACGCTAATTGAGGTATGACACCCTTTTGATTTTATTCTTCGTGTCTTTGGTGTCTAGCCTTCATTAGAAACTGGTTTAAATCGCAGGTAAATCTTCCTTTAAGAAATCAAGGTTTTATTCCATCAGAAGGTTCACAGCCTGGAAGTTCTAGCCTCACTGGAGATTGAACTCCGGACAGGACAGGTATCTCTTCTGTTTAGAGGGAACTGCTCAGGGTGTTAGACATGTCAGGGAATCAGTTCAGCTGGACGATCACGAGCCGGCAACATGATCTCTGGCTCGTCCTTCTCGGGGGTACATGGAGCTGCTAGGCCTTTGGCGCGATGGGATCTTTCGCGACTGCGTGGCTCTCCAGGAGCTCTTCAACAGTCTCACTCCCCCGTCCAGCAGCAAACTCCGGAATGTCATTCTCGGTTCTACATCTCTCAGCCATCCAAATGGGTGTGCGGGCTTAGAAGTGCTCGAACAACGTTTCGGAGGAGCTCGTGTGGGCCCTATCATGTCTCTCAGCTTGGGCAGACTCTTTGAGTTTGCTTGGATCTCTCAGAGAACCAGTTGAAGGGGATGGTTCTGAAGGACTAAGTGGTGGAAACCCTGCTACGGTCGAATAGCAACAAAGAGCTCACAGAGAACAGCTTGAAGGACAGCTCCAGGCGAGCTCATGTGGAGGATCCTTGGATACCACTTTCGTCCAGTACCGTGAGACTCCACCAGAAAGATGGTGAGGAAGGTGGCGACAAGCCAATTGGCTGGAGCTGTGACTTCCTTCTTTGTCTCGAGTATTTGGTCGCGTGTCCCGTCCACATGGTGAGCCACGGAATTGTTTCTTAGTTGCTCAAATCTTAATTCTTTCTGATCTCCAGGTTGGTAATCACCATTACCAAATAAGAGGAATTTTTTGCATTGAGGCTTTGCAGTTCGGTAGGCGACGAAGAAAAACTTTCCAGGATCGGAGGATGAAAAGTTACAGCCCAAGCTTGCTGTTCTTCGTGCTCCTCTTCTCCGCTGCGGCACTGATACTCGTATGGATTCTCGACATAAATTCCGACTCCGCAATGATGTCCCGGAGCCGAACTCTGGGATCAAACTTCCGCATCAGCAACAACACCACAAGCTACAAGGGCAGCGACACTTGCAGGAGTAGGAACGAGTACGACTTCTACAGCCGCCGAAGATCAGCGAGCTTCGAGCCATCCGAGTCGGTCCAACGGAAAATCATAGAGTACGAGGCTTTGCACGGGAGGTGCGCTCCGGGCCCGAGCAGTGCGCGAACTGTAGTACATGCGGCTACCTCGTCTACGTTCCCGCCAACCAGGGGATCGGCAACAAGATGGTGGCTATAGTAGCAGCGTTTCTCTACGCGCTGCTCACCGACAGGACGATGCTGATCGCGAGGTTGGAGAACCTGGACACGCTCTTCTGCGAGCCGTTTCCATCCAGCTCCTGGCTGCTGCCGTCGAGCTGGAAGCACCTCGAGTTGGCGCCGTGGGACGCCTCCAAGTGGATTGGGAGCCTGGCGGGTTCGCCCAACTGCAGCCGCGGCGTCGACGTGAGCTTCCCCGAGGTGGTGGTGGCCTATCTCGATTACAACTACAGGGACCAGGACAAGGCCTTCTTCTGCCAAGATCAACAGCAAGCTCTCAACTCCAGCGCGCGGTGGATCGTCCTCTCCTCCGGCCAGTACTTCACTCCGGCGCTCTACAACGTCCCGACTTTCAGGAGCAAACTCGAGGAATTGTTCCCACAGCAGGAGGCCATCTTCCATCTCCTGGTGAGGTACCTGTTGCTTCCCAGTGACTTCGTGTGGGACAAGGCGGCCAGGTACTACGACGCATACCTCGAAACCACATCTGGTTCTCGCCACCCAACCTCGCCGAGGATACGTTCGACTGCCTGGTGCAACAAGGCGCGCTCGCAAACACCACCCAGGAGCGAGCTCCCAGATCGTCGGTGCGAGCTCCCAGATCGTCGGTGCGAGCTCCCAGATCGTCGGTGAGGAAGAACAGCAAGAAGGTGGCGGTGCTGGTGGTGTCGCTCAACTCGCAGTACTCGGAGACGCTCAAGAGCAAGGTGCTGGGATACGATCTAGCGGACGGTTCCTCGGTGTCCATCCACCAGCCGAGCGTGGAGGGGGTGCAAAACACAGGGAACTTGGATCACGACGCACAGGCGGTGATGGAGATCCACTTGCTGTCGATGAGCGATGTCCTGGTGACGAGCCCGCCATCCACGTTTGGCTACTCGGCGGCGGGGCTGGCGGGCGTGAGGCCCGTGCAGTTCGTGTGCGACCAGAGCGTGGTTTGCTCAGTGAGGGAGACGATGGAGCCGTGCTACCACGTTTATCCGGCTCAGTTCGCGCTGGACAACATTGAAAAGTGCGAATGCGGTGGGGTTTCAGACTAGTCTAAAGGACATTCTTAGAAAGGGTGTTGTCTTAGAAAGTTCTAAGATTTTATTTTCTTTTTCGTGATAGATTTCTAAGTTGCTCCTTGGCTGCATGATGCAAATCTAGCGTCTTTTGTAGATTTGCGTGGTCAGGTCATGCTCTTGGCCCACGCAAAGTTGCGCCAAGGCTGCCTTGAAATCCGACATACACGGAACAGGTAATTTGCTACCAAGAGCTTATAGACTTCAAATGGCGAGCTGTCTTTTGTGCAGGACTTTGAAAAACTGCCCATATAGTGTTCTGGCTTGGAAGCTAACGATTCTTATTTTGACAGATGGCACGCGCAAAGGACTTGACTGTTTACCAAGCCCGGTGCTGTTTGTGTGAATATAAAACAGTGGAGGCCCATTGGATCCAATTGTATCGGAGCAAGCACGGCTCTTGGTTCTTATACAACGATATCATCACTATGTTTAGTGCTTTTGTGGCTGGAATGAATCGTGGAAAGATACTTCTTGCCATCGCATTGGTGATCATGATCAGCGGCAACATCGAATGTTGCAGGCCGGGCTCGTTTTCGGTGATGAGCCAGCAGGGCGAGCTTTTCAATTCCGAATTGCACTTTCCTGTTGTTAAAAAGATCCACACTCTTCTCGAAAGAACCTCCCGGAGAATGCTCACCCAGGGTCAGCCCACGCCAGCTCCCGGCCCTTCCGGGTGCTGCCACGATAATTGAAGTGGCGGACAGCCACGTGGCTGACACGTCATGCAAGGCTCTTTCCATCTGGCGGCGAATTCTCCTCCAAATCCTCCACCTCCACTCCTTTCCCCATTCTTCCCCACCTCCGCTCCCTCCCATTACAGTCACACATCAATTTACCCAGCTTGCGTCCAGGAGGCGCTTGTCTCACCAAGGTGAAGGGGAATGATAAAGGCAACTTTCCATTTTTCCTTGACTTGAGAGCTGCGTGGAATTCCCAGAAGTTCCACTCCAGCAAGTAATGTCTCCACAAGACTTTCAGGGATGTCTTGTACAGCTGCGAGCAATCAGCCGTGGTGGTGGCTTGCCCTTGTTCTGGCGAGAAGATCTGCAAAGAGGAGCGGCTGCAGTGAGTCTTGAAGATTCGCAGGTCGTTCGGATTGGGTATTGGGCAGCACTGGCAAAGGCAGATTTTCTCCCACTTGACGTGATGGAGTCTCATTGGAATGCACGTTTGGTGAGATGATCAGCGCCTTGGAGACAGGATTGTAGACCTTGTAAGCCTTGTGTTCAATGCCATAGCCTAGGAAAATGCTTCGTTCGCTTGTTGGAGTGTGTTTTTTTTCTAGTTATAGAGGGGATATGGACGCCATGGAAGGTGCGCTAATCCATTCGAATTCCACTTTGTGCAAGAACCCTTGACAATCCTGGACCTCAACATTGGCAAGCACTTAAACGAGTCTTTTGGTACTTCCGAGATACGTTTTCTTACGGTCTTAAGGCCACAAGTCAAGCTTACTGGGCTGGCTTTGGCTAAATTGTTTAGCCTTCACAATGCAGTTGGCAGCAAGAAGCAGAGCGTCCTTGCCTGCTCCGGCTGTGAGGCGGAGGCTAGTTCCGCATGCAAAGAGGCCATCTGGCTTTGCCGCCTCCTCAACGACACCCGGCCCAACACCAATCTACTGCAACAATCAAGGCTGCATCGCCTTGAGCAAACATCACAAGATTAATTCCCGGACGACACACGCACCACGCTGAGAGACACGTCCAGTTCTTTCCATGTTCTTGTGATTTCAATCTCGATAATGCAATCTTAATTGAACATCACAACAGCCTGGAAATCGAGTCCGCTGCTTCATCCCACCAAACAATCTGATCTCGTGCACAGCATGAAACAAACATTCTCTGTGCCTCTCCTGATAGAGCCATACAGAACCTTCTCATGTCCAGCCACTTGATTATTATATGCAGCACACTCAAATACGTCCAGGTAAATCCCGAAATCCTCTCAAAGTAGGCTAAAGGAGATACTTTGTCATCTTGCCAAAAGTCCCTTCTAACACATGCTTGAGGGTTAGAGAGGGCTTGGGTGAGTTGGCAAGGTGTAGTTTTGGTCTTTCCCTTGAAAGATCATGGACCTCACTTAACTACAGTATCACCTTTAGCCCATTACAATGCTGCATAAAGGGATCACTGCGTTTGCTCATTGTGGCGAGGGCGAGAAAGTCCTCGATGGGAGCGTGGAAGGTGACACTCCGGCCTGCGCCTACATCAGCTCCGTGAATCGCAACAAGGATTTCTTTCTTCTCGTGACAGGGGATTTTAGGATCGCACCAGGCACAGGCAACTGGAGAATGCCAAGGAATTGCTGCGTGCCATGCCGTTTGTGCCGGATGCTCT